AAACCTCTCCTCCTGTCTCTCTGCTTGGCAGGAGCCTCCCCTTGGCCTCCAGCTACTCCCAGCCAGCGTGCACAGACATTATTATTACGCATTATTAAGTGCATAGGAAAATATGAATGTATGGAATGTGTCAGCCCTGCTAACTACTGCCTCTAAGTCTGGTGCTACTGAGGCTAAATGTTCGGACTGGAGAATGAATACTCTTCACCAACTATTAGGAACTATTTTATTGTTTGTTTTTTTTAAATATGCATGTGCAGCAGTTTTTCAAATTCTCATTAACCAGCATGTCCCCCTTCTTTTGATATGCCTCATATACCCTGGGCTATGGTTACAAGGACATGTATTGTGTGCGTACCAATGCAATGTAAAACAACATGTAATATCCCAAAAGTACCAAAATGAGCATGCAAATAAACCAATTTCCACAATGAATATGTGAATATTTCGGTGCCAGTCCACCAACAGTTTTGGAATGAGTTTGCTGGTTTGTGGTATAAAAAAAGGTTGGGAATATCTGCTATAGAAAGTCAATATCATTCTCCCTGTTCTGTATGTTAGAATATATCTTTTAAGCAGCTATCCAGGCAAGGCTGCCATATCTCTCTGTGGTCTTGTGCATATAATAAGCCTTGGGTTAATTAAATTCTGCCCCAATTTCCTCTACTGGTTATATAGGGATGATAATAGTAGGGATGTAAAAAACAGATACAAATATTAACCATGAAAGTAATAAAAATTCTATTGGCTACGTTGTTAACTGTGGAGCGGGACGGTGGGCCTGGCCTGGCCTGGAGCAGCTGCCCACCTCTGGCATGTCACAAGCAGGGGGCTGCTCTGTCCAGCCCAGGTGCCAGTTCACCGGTTATCAGTAAGCATCACCCACTAAGAATGATGCTTACTGGGTAGCCGGTTAACCATTTTATCCCTAGATAATAGTACTTACTGCACTCGTGTCAGGTGAGAAGTAGTTAATGCCTGGAAAACTGTGTGTAACTGTTTAACATTAATGTTTATGACTCTCTCAAACAGACAAGTTGAACAACACCTCAAGGGTCAGTGCTAACTGGCAAGGCTGGCTAATTAAAAAGTCCCCTTATTTCTCTGCAGCTCAGAGACACAAAACATTTAAAATAGAAATGTTACTTCCCCTACCTTGTCCCACAGGGACTGCAGCTCATCCTGCCCTCCAAGATCCCAGAACATTAGCCGGGCTTTGCCCACATCAATAGTACCAACTAGAGCAGGGAAAGAAGAAAAAAATAACTCAATACAGACTGACTGTATTCTTTAAAACAGGCATGCATGCACAGTCCCTCAGGAGGGAAGGGGGGTTGGAAGAGTCATCAACCACAGTGTTATCCCTCAGCAGGACAGCAATATGTGTCATTAGCAGATAGTGGGTTAAATTCACCTTTTTATAAGCAGCAACAAACCCATTATTTCAGTGGAGTTACACCAGTGTAAATAAGATCAGAATCAGGCTCACAAACTTTGGTGGAGTTACAGGGCTGAATTTGACTTAGCATCATTAAATGAGGCACACTCGCCTTCAGACCCTGCATGTCTTTTCCAGCTCTATGATTAGTCCATAGATGGAAGAGACCTCAGGAGGTCATCAAGTCCAGCCCCCTGCCCAAGGCAGGACCAATCCCAACTAAATCAACCCAGCCAGGGCTTTGTCAAGTCAAGACTTAAAAACCTCTAGGGATGGAGATTCCATCACCTCCCTAGGAACCCATCCCAGTACTTCACCACCCTCCTAGGGCAATAGTTTTTCCTAATATCCAACCTAGACCTCCCCCGCTTGCTCTTTAAAGCCTGGGGACAGGCTCTCTTATCAGGAACTATTTTCACAGTGTAAACTCTTGAAACAATCACTTCTCTAAATTTGTAGGAGGCAGCAAAGAGATTCACAGATTCGCTTACTGTTTAAGCCCACAGTGGTAGTGATTTTGGATAAGCTCATCCCCTTGTAGTTCCTGTTAAATCGGATTTTAGTCTGCTCAAGGAAGGTCTGAAAGGGAAGAAGAAATGAAACTAGTTAGTATTGTATACTTAATTGGCAAGGACAATCCTATCCAAGACGTGTTTTCCTCCTATTGGATCAGTATGCTCCATGATGTCTTAGAACACCACACAGGCCTTAGTTTCCCCATTATAGCACAGGGCCATAGAAGAGTTCCCAGGTGATGACGACTTCTTTGTTTCAGTTTTCACTGAGAAGTCTGTAGGAATGCCTAACATAGTGAATGCTAGTGGGAAGGGGGTAGTTTTAGAAGGTAAAATAAAAAAAGAACAAGTTAAAAATCACCTAGGAAAGTTAGATGCCTGCAAGTCACCAGGGCCTGATGAAATGCATCCTAGAATACTCAAGGAGCTGACAGAGGAGGTATCTGAGCCTCTAGCTATCATCTCTGGAAAACCATGGGAGACAGGAGAGATTCCAGAAGACTGGAAAAGGGCAAATATAGTGCCCATTTATAAAAAGGGAAATAAGAACAACCCAGGAAACTACAGACCAGTTAGTTTAACTTCTGTGCCAGGGAAGATAATGGAGCAAGTAATTAAGGAAATCATCTGTAAACACTTCGAAAGAGGCAAGGTGATAGGGAACAGCCAGCATGGATTTGTAAAGAACAAATCATGTCAAACCAATCTGATAGCTTTCTTTGATAGGATAACGAGTCCTGTGGATAAGAGAAAAGCGGTGGATGTGGTATACCTAGACTTTAGTAAGGCATTTGATACGGTCTCACGTGATATTCTTATAAATACAACTTAGATGGGGCTACTATAAGGTGGTGCATAACTGGCTGCTCAAAGAGTATTTATTAATGGCTCACAATCCTGCTGGAAAGGCATAACAAGTGGGATTCCGCAGGGGTCTGTTTTGGGACCGGTTCTGTTCAATATCTTCATCAACGATTTAAATATTTGTATAGAAAGTACGCTTATTAAGTTCGCAGATGATACCAAGCTGGGAGGGGTTGCAACTAATCTGGAGGATAGGGTCATAATTCAAAATGACCTGGACAAATTGGAGAAATGGTCTGAGGTAAACAGGATGAAGTTTAATAAAGACAAATGCAAAGTGCTCCACTTAGGAAGGAACAATCAGTTTCATGCCTATAGAATTGGAAGCAACAGACTGGGAAGGAGTACAGCAGAAAGGAATCTAGGGGTATAATGGACCACAAGTTGAATATGAGTCAGCAGTGTGATGCTGTTGCAAAGAAAGCAAACATGATTCTGGGATGCATTAACAGGTATGTTGTGAGCAAGACACGAGAAGTCATTCTTCCGCTCTACTCTGCGCT